TGCTACTGCTTATGTTAGCTTTTAATATACGGTTTTATCCTGATTAAAGCTTTAATACAGTACGGCAACTGCACGCTCAGACCTTGCCCACCCATGTTCAGACCTTCTTCCACTGAATTCACAACATTTGGCAAACACACTTCTTTCATTAATTCATTATGCACTGTGAGTCCTCAGCGGACTGTGTAGAGCTTTACTTCGTTAACCAGTTAATTTCCTAAAATCATCACAGATGGGCTAATGCGAGTAATATGGCTACATAATAAAATGTAAGGAATGGAGACCGTAATGTGAAAATAGCACACCTGAGCCTGGAGCTAAATGATCCAACTCTCACAGGTAAAGTCTAATTGACTGACAGGCAGGGCATGATGGGAAAATAGGAGCCAAAAGCCTTGTAGTCAGAGCTTACATTAGTAAGTAAAGTTTATTTATATAGCACATTTATCTCAGCAAAGCTGGCCAAAGTGCTGAACAGAAACAAACTGTCTTCTAACGATTACATTCAATCCATACTACCAAATAAATTGAATAAACAATTTAAAATTTCAATTGTTCCTAGAAAAACACATTATTACTAAAGTCCAATTGATGAATCACTCTTTTAGAACATTTTTTTTTAATGATTTTTGCAATCTGTTGCATTGTGCAACACAGTGTGCTCTGTTGTAAACCACACATTAGTGTTAATTTTAGTATTATTTATTTACTAATAAAACTATTACAGTATATAGTATTTTATAATTGTTTTAGAATATTTTAGAATTAGCTTTATTTATTTATTGTAATATATTAATTTTGTTTTTAAGTTGTTAAAACCATTTTAACATTTAATTCATTTAAGTTTAAGTAATTTTGTTATGTACTTTTGTCATTTTTTATTAGTGTTAGTTTTTTCATATTTTTATTCGGCTTTCATTTATTTTATTTCAGTTTTAGTGTTAGTCATTTTAGCACTTCAGTGTATTTATTTTCAATTAGATCTCAAGTCAACAGTTCAACTTTTCATTTAGGTTTTTCATTTAATATTTCAGATTTATTTAAATTAACAAAAATTATTTTTCATAATTGTAGTTAACAATAAGACACTGCTGCACACAGAATTTACAAATACTGTAATCACACTTTAAGTAAGAGTAGTATGCTCTTCCCAAAATAGCGAGACCTTTGCTGAAACGAACTGAACTCTTTGTCCTGCACTGAAAACACTGAACTCACCAGGGTCGAGGACTTTCATATTGTTTTTCACATGGAAGAAGTTGGAGACATTGAATTTATCCAGATTTGTGGGATCCTGTGATATAAAAGGACAAAATGAGATGTTATATGACAACCCCAGATTTGCTGACAAACTATGTAGGGATCATTATGTAAAAACAAATCAAATATGTGACCCTGGAGCACAAAAGCAGTCTTAAGTCGCTGTGGTATATTTGTAGCAATAGCCAAAAATACATTGTATGGGTTAAAATTATTGATTTTTCTTTTATGCCAAAAATCATTAGGATATTAAGTAAAGATCATGTTCCATGAAGATATTTTGTAAATTTCCTACTGTAAATATATTAAAACGTAATTTTTGATTAGTAATCTGCACTGCTAAGAACTTCATTTGGATAACTTTAAAGGCGATTTTCTCAATATTTTGATTTTCTATCCTAACAAACCATACATCAATGGAAAGCTTATTTATTCAGCTTTCAGATGATGTATAAATCCCAATTTCGAAAAATTGACCCTTATGACTGGTTTTGTGGTCCAGGGTCACATATGTACTCATCACAGGACTGTTATAAAACAGCTCATATCATATTTTTCCCTAAATAGAAAGACAAGAAAACACTCTCTAATGAATTTGTTTTGGCAGAGTTTTATCAGTTTGAAGGCTCGCCTCCTGCAATACACTCACACGCAAACAAAAGAGAGTTCAGGACCTTCTCATCTCTCTCCTCCACACTTTGAGTGACCCACCGTAGTATCCGTTCCAAATAGTCAAGTCAAGTCAAGTCAAGTCTGCTTTATTGTCAGTATTTGGGAGGGGGGAGTGGGAGAAGAGAAAAAGAGCTTATTTAGACTGATTAAAGTGACTGTGTGTGAGCAAATAGGTCAGACAGTGAAACTGTACCACAGCCCGTTTCAGTCCTGCTATTTCAGCTAAACTCCCACTCAACCAGCTCTCTCTTTTCAAATATTCCCCCCATCAATCCTTTTAAAACTCCCCCAGCTTTCCCACCCAATGTGGCACCCAAAATAACCTCGGTGTCAGTCTGGACTCTAGAAACCCTGCCGCCCGTCACTTCCCCGACTTGCCCTTCCTCGAGCTCCAGGGATAGACACTCTGAGCCATACGGCCTAATCTCACCTGAAAATAACTCAAAGTCCATTTCTCCAAACACCCCCCATAACACCCATCAACTCTCTCCCTGACCCAAAATAAACCATGCCAGGACAGCATGGCTTTACTTGCTTTCTATGAATAAGGACACTGCAGGTCACATTCACACACACACACAGAAAGCACTGATTCAGCTTACAGTGTCTTTCACACATGCCCACGTTTCCTGGTCTGAAGGAAGACATACCATAGGCTTCTGTACTTACACAAGGGCTGTCATATTATACATTTAACAACAGATTCTGTATTCCCATATTATTGCATAAAAATGCACAGGAAATTCAAACATACCTCAACACTACCCTTCAAAAGTTTAGGGTCTAGAAGATATTTTAAATGTTTTTGAAAAAAGTATTTTAGGCTCACCAAAGTGCATTTAAATAAAAATACAGGAAAAAGAGCAATAATGTGTAATATGATTGCAATTTCAATATATTTTAAAAGCAATTCATTCCTGATGGCAAAACTGAATTTTCATCAGACATCACTCTTCAGTGTCACATGATCCTCCAGAAATCATTCAGATATGCTGATTTGATGCTCAAGAAACATTTGTGATTAAAACAGCTGAAAACTTGTGCTGCTTAATATTTTTGTGTAAATTGTGATCAAGTTTTTCAGGATTCTTTGATTTGTTGATTTGATTTGTTTGAAATTTAAAACATTACACATTTTACAAGATTTTTTATAAGAACATTTTTTGAACAGTAGTGTACATGACCTACTACACAGATCCAAGTGCCATGCATAGATTTGTATATAGAAATTTGACCCTGGTTACATAAGATCTTTTATTACTCCGATGGATTTACAGCGAGGCTTAACACAACTTTAGACAGTCGCCACATGCTGCTGTACTGTTTAATCCCATCGATTCATAAACACGCTGCTGTGTTTGATTCATAAACTGTGCAGTTCCTCAACGAGTGCTTTTTATTGCAGTCTTCATTTTTAGCGACAAATCAGAACACACTCCCAATGTGAAGGTTTTAAAGGTATCTTCAGGGATGAAGCTCTGTGGTGGATGGCATGCTGTCGATTACCACAGACAACAACTTTTTTTTATTTTCATATAATGACGGACTTGTTTGCAGTTATATACGTTTCAAAGCACAGTTGTGCAAGTTTGTATTATTTTTGTTAAAGGGTTTATATTAATTTTACCTTACCAAAAAGTTATTTCAGCTTTAAATTCCTCCAAACATCCATTAGTGTTCAGATGCTAGAAGCTACAAGTGCATTTTTCTGTCTAGTTTTTGGTATCCTTGTTACCAGGTTTACAGGCTTTATGGGGACATTAGTCATGAAAAGGGTTTCAAATATTAATTTAAAGATACAAATCATATGTATTACAAACAATGTGGCTCTTTTGAAACAGTGAGCATTTTAACATTTATCCTGATGAAATGACTGTGGGATCAGTGTTGTAATAGTTAACTAAAACAGATACTATTAAAAATTGTTTGCGGTGACTAAAATAAAATAAAATAAAAAATATTCAATATAAAAAAAAGTTACATTTAAAAAAATATATTTAAATACAATTAGAAATGTTGATTTGGCAACTAACTGAAATAAATATAAGTATTAAGTTATTTTAAAAATATGTTTAAAAAACGATATAAATATTAAAAAAAAAAGAAAAACAAATGACTAAAGCTCATACAATTTAAATTCAAATGAAAACTAAAAAAAAAAAATTGAAAATTCTAAACTGCAATTCAAAATATGAATAAATGCTATAAAAAGTTGAAAAGATATTTATTATTGTGGCATGCAAATGATTGATCCCCCTCTGACTCTCAGTCAATCATCAGAATCAGCCTGACTGTCTGTCTCTCTCGACAGCTGTAATCACTGTGAACAGACATTAAACCTGCCATTTCATAACACTCTAATCACACAAAAAGCACAGGTTTTGACACACAACAACCATATACAAACTTCAAACTAACTGGCCAACTGTTGTCTGAAACCTGCTGCTTGATTCTAACTTCTTGTGTACAGAAAACCTGTATGAAATCACAGCCATGCTGACATAACAGCACCCTCACTTAATCATACTCAACAGTCATAAACACACACTGTCTGTGCCTGTCACCTTTAGTGTGATGAGATCCTGGCGAGTGAATGGTTCATCTGTCAACAGGTCTTTATAACTCTTTGTCTTGATGTTGAGCTGTTCCACTGCCTAAACAAAACACACATCCACAGAATATTGACTATTCATGTTCACGTCAGATTAAAGAAGGTTAACACATCAATAATAAATTATTGACGTCAGCATGATATTAAAGGGGGCATGAACAACTGGATTTTTCTTGCTCTTTAGTGTAGAGTAGACCTACATTTTCCACCATGCATGGAAATTGAACAGCAAAAATGTGTAATTCAAAAATCATGGATGTGATGTCAACTGCATTAATGAATTAAATTTCATTATATGGATCCAGAAGGCTTGCAATATAGTGCACGAGTCATATGGACTACTTTTATGGTTCAATTTTAGAGTTCAACCTTCAACCGTTTTCTTTGAATAGAAAAGAGCAACATAAACTTAAAAAAAAAAAATTATGCCTTTGTGCTCCATGGAAGAAGACAAAAATCACACAGGAGGGTGGATACATTTATTTAAATGTATAAAAAAAAATATATATATATATATTTTAAATTTAATTAATTAATTTATATTTTATTTATGCAACTAAATATACTTTTATAAATATTTATTTTTATAATATTTTTTAATAAGTACTTTTAATAAATGAATATTTTTATTTTTGGGGTACTACTACTTTAGTAACAAATACAGAATGTTTAATTTTAAACATAAAATGGGTATTTAAGAAATAAAAGTCATGAAAAACTGAATTATCACAAGAAACCTTGAATAACATTACATGGACTTCAGGGAGAAAAAAATGGTCCCACATAAGAAACATTTGGGATGTAGTGTGTTTTACCTCATAAGAGAAAACATTTCCTGTGACTTTGTTAGCAACGATGTGGGAGTTGTTTGTGAACACTGTGTAGAGCACAGGACAGTGGTACTTCCCTAAAGTACAGGAGAGAAAGACAGAATATGCACTGTAGAGGACTTCAATCCATTTGTCAATCTCTTGTCATTAGCACATATTGTTGTTGACGCAGGCCAGGTAAGAGGATCACGAGCACACACAAACATATTTACCTTCATTGTTTTTGCTGATGTTAAGCTTGATGAGGTATTTAGCCTCAAGCTTCTACAGAAAGAGAGAGAAACAGGAAGTTAAGGAGATAGTGAATATACCTGTCAGACTTTGGCTTTCTGACACACCTTCATTTCAAATATAATGTTAATGTCTGATTGTGTTGAATTATTTAGCATGAATTTGCTGATTCATACGGCACATGTTTGAGCAATGATAAAACAAGACACTCTCTGAATAGCACTCATTTTAAACACCATCATGCAACGCTGTGGCTAGAATGGGTTTAATCATATTAACAAGTAAATTCTTGTCTCTAATGACACTTAGATGAGATGAGCAAAGAAAGATTTATATGATTGCCTAAAGTGCTACTTAGTGCTGGCCGGTTTACTTTTTAACATATAGTAAAACTGTGACTCATAAATAACAATTATTATATAATTATATTATATTATATAATAATAATAATAATAATATTTAAAAGTGATGTACACTATTGTTGAAAAATGCAGGGTCAGTTTGAAATCATGCTTTAATTGAAAACACAATATATTGACCAAAAGTGACAGCTAAAACATTTATAATATTACAAAAAAAAATTATATTTCAAATAAAAACTGTTCTTTTGAATTTTCTATTCATCAAGGAATCCTAAAAATGTATCATAGTTATTACTACAATAGTACAGTAATATTATATATTATTACTGTATGTTTGTTCAAATAATTGCAGCTATAGTAAACATAAGTGACTTCTTTAAAAAATAAAAAACTTTTAAACAGTAGTAGTGTAATTTTTTCCAATGCTAACATAGATTATTATTCAAGTCAACTTTAAGTAAAGCATTCATGGTTGAGACTGTTTGTTGTCACCAGTGGTTTTTTTTTTGAACCTTAAACCGCATAAACACATTGCATTACACCAAATACACAAAACAATGTTCTTTTTAGCAACGTCATATGACCCCTTTAAAGGATTCCCTGCACAACACATTTAAACTGACCATGCTGTGATCCAGTGACACACTGATTCAGACTGTATTATACAGATCTTCATCTCCCAGGTTTATTTCTCTTTAAGCCTCTCCCTCACTGACAAAGCTGGGCATCTGACTGCTAGACTCTGCCTCAGACTACAGACCGTTTGCAGACCACCTGATGGGTACTGAACACAAAAATGGCAGGAACTACTCAAAATCACCAGTTGCAGTCTGACTGGCTGAATGGATTTTATCCATTAGAATTTGACTGGTCAATTGGCTTGATAGTATTGGCTAATATTGTTTTTTGATAAATGATGATGAATATCATGCATTCATGAATTTTGCACTGTAAAAGGTCTTTATTAGGAAAATAAATTAAATTGTGACTTCAATTGTGAATCAATTGTGATGTGACTTCATGTCCTTAAGAATGCTTAGCTATGCATCTACTGAAAGAAAACTGTGCTGCGTTCAACTGATGCGCTGCATCCTTATATTTATTATTTTCTTTTTATTTGTTTTAATTACATAGCAAATCAATTGTACTTTTTTTTTATTTTTCTTTTATGTATTTATTTTTACTTTAATTTTGTTTACTTTAATTATATTTTTGCATCTATTATGAATTTTTAAAAATCCTTTTTATGTAAAGAACTACACTTTGAACCTGGGGGTTTGTGAGAATGGCAGGGGGCTTGAGAGTTGATGAAGAGCTAATTATCATCTATATAATAAAATTTAAACTTAAATAAAAAACAGGGATGCACAATAATATTGATGGCACTTAATGTGATTATCAAATTAATGGTTGTGATTTAATTAAATAACTGTTAGTCAAATTAAGGCATAAATATCAGTACTGTAACTACGCATAAAATAAAAATGATTATAATTAATTTCAAATAATAACAATACATTTGTTAGATAAAAACTTTGATGCTTTGTGACACCACTGCGAATGTAATGTGACACTACCACAACTAAAAAGAAGTTCAACTTAAATCCAGCTACAAAGTCAAAATTAAACACTTACTAAAAAGGTTGACATTGTGAATTTACTTGCATGTCACGTGACCATTAACTGACAGAGAACAGTGAACATGCGAATATGTCATTAAATTGTCATTTACTGGGCTGACAAAAAAAGTTTGGGAATGCCTGTGATATAAAAGTGAACGTGCCTTGTCTAACAAACACATACTGACGCTTCAAAAATGCAATAAATAAGAGTAACACATCATAACACATATCTTTTAATGCAAATTTGTAAAGCAGAACACATGAAAGCATGATGTCTGCACATGAGAACAAGTCGTGGCATGTCGAAAGGATCTCTTAAAAGTCACTCTAAAAGAAAGGATGGATATAGGAGACACACACACACACACACACACACACACACACACACACACACACACACACTTACACACAAACACAGTCTGTGTTTCTCAATAGCCCTAGTCAACTCCAGCACTTACTTTCCTCCTCTCCATCTAGTGAGACAAATCAATCATGAATACTTCAGATAACACAGTCTCCAGACATGCTCTCACTCAGACGCACAGCTATGAAGATGTAAAGATGCATTACAGATGACAGCCATGTGCCTTGATAGACACTGAATATGAATATTAAAGCAAGTAAATACAGGATGCCCTACATCCCGCTCTCTGTAAACATTCACACAACTTCTGCTGATGCCAGTGCTAACCGATTATGCATGCAGCGTGCACACAGAGATCCTATAACTCCTATTCCATAAATTAAGAGTTCAGTGACGTGCGTCCAGTGAACTGGTTATGCAGCAATTTACACCCACATCCACTCCTGGCACAGTGGACGCTATTAGCCACCATCAGCGGGCCTGTGAAATATCTTCATTATTGTCTCAATAATGATTTCTAGATGAGTACACTAATAGAGTATTTTCCCTCTAAGCAACGCATTAAGCTTGACTACTCTCCAAAACATAAAATGAAACTCTCAGAGCAGAAAATACCTACTGTTTGGCAGCATGTAATGAAATTAAGATTATGAAAGGCTTTCGGTTATCTTAACATATTTATTTTCCTCTTTTATTTTTATTGGTTTTTAAATGACATTTTGTACTTTTTACTGTTAATTTTATTTCTTACGCATCTGTTATGATTATTTTTAAATTATTTTGGGTACAAAAGAGCATTTTCCCTCACATTAAGCTTGACTATAAAACACAATTAAACTCTCAAAGCAGAAAATATCTACCGTTTAGCAAATATGTAATGAAATTTTGATTATGAAAGGCTTTGGGTTATCGTAACATTTGATTTGCACTTTGTTTTTTTACCAAAGTATATTGGGCTTTGAATGTTTTTTTAGAGCGTTCCTGTGTGGTTGCTAGGGTGTGCTAGGTGCTAGATGGTAATATAATGCTAGCATTAAATATATGATACTGTAGCATGTAAAATTTAATTATATTTTTTATTATAAAATCATTATAAATGATCATTATAAAATTTTATATTAATTTCAGTTCGCTTTTATTTTAGAATGTATATCATACATGATTTTCATAATTTGAATGTACATGCTTGTTATTTTTATTAGCTTTTTATATTTATATTTAATATATTTTTAAATTTAATATTTATATTTTATTTCAATTATTAAAAAAAAATATTTTTAATACTTTTATTTAACTGGTTACTGGCCCAGGGAAAAAAAAAAAAAAAAAAAAACTCATACCTAATTCAATGCAAGTCTATGGGATGTTTTGGCCCAGTTTATTATCTGAAAGGTAAAAATCTTAAGTCTAACTGCATAAAGAAGCTCTCACATATCTCTACTCAACATGTCACATGATTTAAGGTCCATATCACAAACAAGATACAATTTTATTACTTGGGGTAAGAGGTTTACTAACCCTAAATACAAGTTTACCTTAGTAAACAGCACTAAATATGATTAATTTTATAAAACCCGCTGTGCTCTTTAAATCATGTGTACAAGAGATTCTGCTTTATAGCTTTGGATACTCTAGGATGCACAGGCAAGCACCTGGAGTTGATGATATTGCGTTTTACTTTGTGTCATCAGTCAAGCACTTGGGCTTCCCCTCAAATGGAGTCTGACTCCCTCTAGTGGTTGAATCCATGCAGGATTTTGATCATTAAAAGCTTTCACCTCTAATGATTTGAAAGTGTATTGGTCAGTGTCAAATAAATAAAATATTATAAACAGGAATAACTGAAATACCTCTCCAGTTATGGGGTTGGTACCAAACTTCTTAATCCAAGGCACTATGCTCCTAGAGAGAAAACAAACTTTTATCTTTTTTTTTTTTTTTTGCATCAACACAGTAAAAAATGTACTATTGTAAAATATCACACTTTAAAATAACTTTTCTATTTTAATATAAATTATAAATTTTCAGCATCATTCCTCCAGTCTTCAGTGTCACATGATCCTTCAGAGAAATCATTCTAATGTTGAAATCAGTTGGACTGTTTAATATTTTTGTGAATATTTTTTTTTTCTCGATTTTCTTGAATAGAATGTCAATAGAATCCGTTTTCGGATAAAAATGTAAATGATTTTACTGTCACTTTTGATCAATTTAATGCATCCTTGCTGAATAAAAGTATTAATTTCACCCCCCTAAACTTTTCAAGGGTAGTTAGTGTATGTAATAATAAATACGAGCTACTATAAATAAGTGTATTATTTGTATTAAATCATGAATGCAAATAACAGCTTCACAAATTACTCATTTTGATGTTGGTGAGAGTAATATACTCACATTAGATCAAAAACCACCCCATCCACCGTGCACATGGGATACTCAAAGGGCTGAAGAGACAAACTATGCAAGAGATAAGAGATGAACATTAAAAATCATACATATAGTATGACACTAAAGCTGCTGTGTGTCATTTCTGAGCCACCAAACAGATCTGCAAATATACTGACTGTTATCAGAACAGTCTCCCCGAACTTCCACTGAAATGACAGAAAGACAGTCCAGCCCTAAACTCACATGATTTTTTGAGACACATCAGACCCCTCCAACAAACAGAGCAATGTTTTAAAATTAGCAAAATCTACAAATGTCTTACTAATAATTGTCTCTGCATATTACACTAGAATAGGAGAAAAGTATTTTAACATTCGGGGGAAAAACTGACACACAGCAGCTTTAGAACAGAATGCTGTTCATAGACTTCAGTTCAGCATTCAACACAATCATCCCTCAACAGCTCATTCACAAACTGGTCCAGCTGGGGCTCAACACTTCGCTGTGCAACTGGCTGTTGGACTTCCTGACCCCCCTCCCAAATACACACACACACTGTCACTTTAATCAGTCTGAATAAGCTCTTTTGCACTACAAATCATTATATCTGCACTGTTGTTTACTTCACTGGTTTGCACTCTATCTGCCATGTGCCTTGTGCTGCTTTATATATTTTTTTACATTTTACCTTATTTGTATGTTTGTATAGTTGTATTTTATATTTTATATTTAATCTGTATCTATCTGTATTTATGTTCTACTGTTAGTGTTATCTGTATGCACCAAGGGTCTGAGAGTAACGCAATTTCAATTCTCTGTGTGTATGTGCTGTACATGTGGAAGAATTGACAATAAAACAGACTTGACGACTTGACTTGACTTGACTTTAACTCACATAAAACCAATGAAATTCGAGCATCGTTTGAAACACTGATCAACAATTATGAAAGCAGAATCTATTGTGCTAGACCTAAATTACTGACCAGAAGAAACACAAAGGACTTTTTTTATCAAACATGAAAGACGTGAAAACTCACCTGCAGTGATCAAAGGGCAGACGTCTGAAATTGGCTTGTGGGATTTCTATAAACATGATGACAAAAGGCTTATTTTACTCATCCCAGCGGCTTTCGGAGGAAAAAGCATCAGCAATATCAAACAAAAAGTGCACAAAATAAAACTATATGCAGTGCAATCAAACAAACAACAAAGCGAGTGACAGGAAAACCAACAGCATTGCATACACTACTGTGCAGTTAGTTTTTTTTAAATGCTGTTGAAAGAAATATTGTGAACTATTATTAGGGTTTAAAATATCGGTGTTCTATTTTAATATATTGTAAAATGCTATTTATTCCTGTGATGCAAAGCTGAATTTTCAGCATCCAGTGTCACATGATCCTTCAGAAATCATTATAATATGCTGATTTCTAGAAATATTTCTTAGAAAGCTCAAAAGAGCATTTACTTGAAATAGAAATCTTTTGTAACATTATACATTGCTTTACTATTACGTTGGATCAATTTAATGCATCTTTACTGAATAAAAGTGCAAATAATAATAAAAAAATTAAATAAAATTAATGGAATTTTGAATGGTAGTGTACATACCAAGGACCTGATTTATTTATTTATTCATTCAGGCCCGAAAAATCACAATTCTAACATTTTCCTGATACTGGGGAAACCCTGAAATGTCAGGTTTTACAATCTTTAATGTGAATATTTTCCCCTCACGTTACATGACACAACACTTTACTTTCTAAAATATACATACTGCAGTAAGCCATGCTGCATCTAAACTGCAAATGTAAAATCATCTCTGAATAGAGTGTTTGTTTGATTTGCTCATATTGTAAAATGTATCCCACAATGTTTTGTGCTTACAGTTAACTGTTTTCAACAGTTTTCTTACTACAAACAGATCAGTAACATTACATCCAGACTAGTTTAAGTAACGTTACCTGATTTCTTCCCTCCATAAAACTGAGTGTATTCTGCACATGTGATGTACCTGAAACAGACAGATATAACAAATATTATTATAATTATTGAAGAATCAGAATTAAACAATAGGAAATGCGTAGCAGTTCACTACTTAATACTAAAACATAACTAACGTTACAAAAAAATACTGCAGTTGTTGCAATTAACGTTAGAAAGATGCATGAATGACAGCTGAACACGTATAACGTTACAGTCTTAAAAAAGACAAACACGTTATAAACCTCAGATTACACACAACACGATATCACTGCAATAAAGAATATACTGTTGTTGAAATCATCAAATATAACTGTATAAGACTCTGTAGTAAAATCTATCTATCTATCTATCTATCTATCTGTCTGAGCTTTATAAATAACGTGTTGATCAACCATGTGAAATATTATTGTGCCAGTTGTCTTTGCTCATTCATTGAGTTGAATGAAATACTAAAATAACCAAAACATACCCCCCCCCCAAAAAAAAACACATTTTAAAAAGTAATAATAAAATAAAAATGACAAAAACACACAACAAAAATACTAAAACTTCGACAAAAATAAAAAAAAACAACAACATAAAAATAAAAACTTTTTAAAAATATTAATAAAAACTATAGGCCTGTTTATCAATGATACTAAAATTACACTGACGTTAGCATACTGTCACATTACATAACCACACATAAAATAAGTTCTTACCCTTAGGATGGTTCTTCATAGGCTTAGTGGCAAGTATAGATCACATATTGAAATGCATTTATGAAGTGGTCATCTTCTGCTGAAACTTTCTTTTTTAAGGCATATATGGAGAAAGGTCAGTGTGCATTATCAAACAGCACAACTGCAAGAAGGTTTTCTGCAAGAGTCTAATCTGGGTAAATCCTATTCATAATGCACTTCAGCTTTATTCTTGTGAGAAGAGAATGTGTGTATGTTCACATGCAATATACACCAAAATCAGTTGTGTTTATTCATTTATCCATTCTGAACTCAGAATAGATCTGTGCTAACCGTGACAGTGAAACATGAACGAGACACGTGTGTGTTACATAAAGTTTTTATTTTGTCATCTTTCATGGATTTCATTACTGCTCAGTGGCCTCTTCCACAGGCAGCCCAACACGTCCTCACATTTCAGCTTAAAAGCACCTCTCCACTCAACATTCTAGCCAGAGCTATTTACTGTATCATTCATGTGATGATAACAGTAAAGCTCAAGTTCAGAATGAGTCTAAACCAGTTCAAGAAATTATTATTGCTATTGCCATTGGCACCAACAATAAGAGCTTCAAAGATTGAGGTCATTCAACAGTAGTTGATTCATTTTGATGATTGATTCAAGCAGCCACACACTACGTACATGTAATACATAGCGGTGACTTACAGCACATTTCTGAACACAAAACTAACATGTTAAAGATGTGACTGTCACCACTTATTTGGGTACGATTCATTTAAATATGAACATTTTTTATTCAGTCATGTCTTTTAATTTTTTTATTTTTTTCTGACACAGAACAAAAGGTTTTAGGTCGGTTGTATACAAGTCTATGGAAACTTATTTCCACCACAGAATAAAAAAAAAAACTGACTTTTTTCTTAGAATTTTTTTAAGAATTGCAAGTTTTTATTTCACAATTCAGAACTTTTATCTTGCAATTCAGGCATTCTTCTTCCACAATTCAGACTTTTCTTCTCCAAATTGCGAGTTCATATTTTGCAATTCAGAATTTAATTAATTTTCGTCCACAATTCAAACTTCATTTTTCAGAATTGCGAGTATATATCTCCCGATTTAGAGTTTGTATCTTGCAATTCAGACACTTTTTTTCACAGGCAAGGCATTGCAAGATATAACCTGTGAATTGTGATATAAGTTCCAATTCTGAAAAAAAAAAAATCTTTATAACTTTTATAAAATAAAATAAAAAGTTAAAAAAAAAAAAAAAAATGTAATTGTGACTTTTTATCTTGAAATTCTGACTTTTCTTCTCAGAAGTTATAACATTTTATTTTATACATTTTTTTTTTTTTTTTTATGTCTATTTATTTAACAGGCAGAAATAAGCCTGTTAAAAACAACAAAGAGTTATATCGAGATATAGTTTATATCTCGCATTTCTGTGAAAAAAAAAAAGATAATTGTGAGATGTAAACTCGGAATTGTGAGATATAAATTTGCAATTCTGATGAGAAAAAGTCTGAATTGTGGAAGAACAAATCTGAGAAAAATGTCTGAATTATGAGACATAAATTCAGAATTGTGAGAAAAAAAGGTGGAATTGTGAGATAAAAGTCACAATGAGATTTTAATCTTTTATTATGTGGCGGAAACAAGCTCCCATAAAGTCAGTGCTGACCTTTCACCTAAGCAAAACATTTCTTCTGAGCTACCAGTGAAGGATCTCTCTTATGCGACCCCACAGTCTTGTTATCCACAGGTTGACGCCCATATCGCTGAGATACTGAAGCTCTGGCATGAGCATCTTCCTGCAGAGCTTTCGATGCGCTTTGTCGACATTCTTTTTCAGATTGTATCCCATAATCGACTTCTCACCGATGGGTTGCCACGGCTGCATGGACGTCTCCAAGATGCTTCCTGCATCGACAGCGTGGCCTCCTTCAATGCAAATGGAAGCCATTTCTGCGTTTCTGCGCTGCAGCTCTGCGACATCTCTCGCCATGCGCTCACGGCCGTAAGCGTTCACTTTATGCCAGAAGGTGGTGTTGAAATACTGGTAAAGCTTCCAATCGATGGCGTTCCACTCCAGCGCTTTGGCCCTGAGCTCTGGAGTCAGTTTAGAAACAGTTGAACCTTTCCGGGCATTGAGTTTGAAGAAAAGCAAGTCCTCCATGTCCCAGCAGAGGACGTCCTTGAGCAGGATGAGCGACTCTTCGAAATACTCCACAAGCATGACCAAATGGAAGCGCTTGGCGATTGCGTGAATGGCCTCGTCCACTTTTGGGTCATCTGGATGTAAGTTATTATCCTGTCCAAAGTCAAAGAAAAGCAAGTTTTTGAGATAGAACGAGTTGAATCCCTCTGGGTCGTAGTAGAGCTTTGGATCCTTCAGGAACTCTCTCAGCTTCTCATCTCCAGAAAGCTTCCAAGTGAGAGGTACAACGCGTCCAAAATAGTGGAACGAGGACTCAGCGAGATCAGCCGGGTCCCGGAGGATTGTGATGTACGAGGTGTCGGCGGGAAGCACTTTGGCCACCTCAGCAGCATTGAAACGCATGTGGTTACAGATGATGTTGAAACACATTCCCGGCCTGTAGTCCTTGACTTGTGAGCGATGGAAAGGGGACGGGTAAAAGAAGTCATTGCGGCTGTTGGGGAAGGCAAATTTGAGGTGGTGTTTTTCGCCAAAGCGAAAGAGAATGTTGAGGAAAGTGCTACTAGCTGTTTTATGGGTTTTCATGAACATGATGTCCACTTTTGGAGTGCAGGTTCGCTGCCCAGAGGCATGATGGGAGCTGTTAGAGATCGGTGAGGAGTGGGCAGCAGAAGGGCGATGAGCACATGAGTAAGGCACTGGGACCCTGTAAACAGAAATGAACAAAAATATTGTAATTCGAATGCATTTTAGATGCACAGATAAATCATTTTTAGAATGAGTTCTTAACTACTATGATCATAAAACAGATCAATCTTTATCTTTATCCACATTTCACCCTAACATAAAACAGTAAATATTAAAAAAAAAATAAAATGCTTTGTGGCATTATTTTAATGACAATTAAGCAGTTGTATAGATAGACACATATGGATTTTTTTTAACGAAATTAATACTTTTATTATTTTTTATGAATTATACAGATCAAACGTGAGAATAAAAACATTTATAATGTTATGAAAGTCATGAAAAAAATGGTACTATTGTTTCCATAAAAAAATATTAAGCAGCACAACTGTTTTAAACATTGCTAATAACAAGAAATATGACACTAAAGAAAATTCACCTTTGCATCACAGGAATGAATTATACTTATATATATATATATATATATATATATATACATATATATACACATACATTTCAATTGTAATATTTAAATATGTAATATTCAATATATATATATATTTTTTTACATTTCATAATATTACTAAATAAATGCAAAACAAGTATTTTGTACTGAATTTAACGAAATTACAACATATTCATAACATAATCAATCATAACGAAACAATGTTTCAGGATAGAATGACAGAAGAATTAAGGAGAAATGATCTTAATAATTGTCATGAAAATAACATCACAATGCAGACCTGGTTTATTTTCTTTATGAATATGAAGATAAATTATTTTTCTTTTATTTTGATTTTAGGATGAAATATTTCCTGGCTATTTCTTCATGAAATTCACACCAAAATACTGCTCTAATCCACTGAAACTTTGACTTGGTTGCAGAAATAAACAGAATAAACTGCTTTCTGTTGTAGTGTACATTATTCTTGTTCAAAATACATTAAGGAACTCACTCTTGCAGGCCAAACTGGACCTCTGGGGCCGACAGGCAGTACAAAAGAATCATGCAGGTGGTCAGGAGCGCACCCAGGATCAGTCCCTTACAGATGGACCTCCACTGCCTGACTGGCTTTCCAACCATCATAGCTGCCTGGTTGGACCCTGAAAGAAAACCCTGAAGCAAAGAGAAAGATGCTTCAATAATGATTTAGTGCTACTAAGTGCAACTTCATTATCTTTTAAGGCCCTTTTACATAAATACAGTAAAATGTGCTGTGCTATGTGATGTGCTTACATATGCAGAGTCCTCTAGCGCTGCTAGCATTTGATTATCGAAGCATTTCTAGTGTGTTAAGAGATATTCGTCACCATTTCCTCAAGTGCCCAATTATTTAGGTACACTGCTGCTCACTCAACTGCTTTTCTCCCTTGAGTTCAGCCATGCGATCTACATCTGCTAAACATCTACTTACTGTATGTGGGGATTTGCAGTGGCATTGCAGGTAATTCAGCTATGTGGAATTCTAGAATATTTTCATTTTAAGTGACGTAGCAGGTCACTATTTATTTAAAGGTATTCTCTATTTACAATCACCGATTTATTTCCACTGAAATAGAAAACAATAATACTCCTCTCTAAAGAAATTTAAAGTAAACATAAGAATCCTTTTGAGAAACTTGAGAAAGGCACACTTTTGGATTAAAAGCCCTTAGGGACGTAAAGGACTCTGATGAGAAGCAGACGAGTTTTTTTCCCCCTCAGTGGATGCATAGTTCATTTTTCATATGAAAGTCATTGACTTCAAAAAAGTGATAGTGACTATAAGATGTTTGTAACAAAACGGAGGTCAAATGCATTTCAAGGCTTTGACCTTTCTAATAATGTATAGTTTGTCAAGACTAATGATGTACAGTATTATTTTACTTGTGTATTAAACATGAAAAAATGTTCACTGGTCTCCACCGACATGCTTGACATGCAGAGGTACAAAAAAAATTGTATAGGCTATAGTAACACAGCCTAATCCATTACATTACACAGTAATATAATCAAACTACTTTTTGATTACTTTAAGATGACCTAACTCGTTCATCGCATTGATTTAAATAGGATAATCTTGTATACCATATTTATATAAAAATACAAAGAATAAGAAAATATATTCCATTCGTTAACAAAATGACATTTTGTTACATTAAACATTACATTTTTCCAAACTGGGGCTCGTGAAGGAACTGCAGGAAGTGCATTTATGGAAAAGCTAATAATTTATTACATCATAAAAAAAGTTTAATTCAAATAAATCACTTTAAAATAACAACAACTGAAATAAAACGCTTACTAAAAAGGATGAAATATTTTCTTTGGTTACCTGCATGCCATGTAACCATTAATAACGTGAACCGTTGATATGCAAATGTGCTACTTAATTATTAACTTATACCTTAAAGACTCAAGGGAAAGAGGTTCAGCTGACAAAAAAGTGGGGGAATCCCTGCATTAAATGTAAATAAGAGATAATGTGAATTTGTGCATTTTAAAGTGTTTGAAAGACAAAAGCCTTCTAAAGACATAAATAGACATTAAATAACCACTGAGTGATAATTCAAATAAAAACAAATCAGTGTTCATCAGTAGTTGATGCAATGTTGAAATGTTGAGAACACACTTTTTAAAACTGAAATCATTTTGTAAATCCAGTGGTCAAATGCTTGGAGGCCTCTCAGTTTTCTGTGTAATTATAGCCACCTGACTAGTGGTTTTTGTGTGAATGTCCACAAAACTGGAAGACTTTCTGAATGTATATATACGGTAGGCTATTTTAGAAAGGAACATTAAAACGATGGAAAAGGAGAATCAAATTATGAATAATTTATTTTCTGCTGTGTGAATAATGTAATCATGTAATTAGTAAAAAGTAACTGTAGTCTAATTACGAGTATTTTAAAATGCAATTTAATCTAATTACAAGTACTTAATTTTTGGAATCTGAGTACATATGACATGTAATCACCCAGCTCTGTTGACATGTCATATAAACTACCCAACAAAACAAATGCAACGAACTCAAAAATAAATATTAAAAGCATTTTCCAAATAAAAATATGATAAATTCTAATGCTGAGATGAATGCATTGCAGTTGCTGTCCAGTGAATTAATTATGCATTCAGAAGAAAAGTGACACTGTCCGCATCTCTTCATGCCTCATAGACCAGGATCAGATATCGGCAGTGCAGGGCCACAGGTGGATAACACTACCAAGAGAGCATGTTAGAAGCACTGACTACGACAGCCATATGCTGCTGAGCACAGGCACCAAAAGATAGACGGAGAGACCGAAGGAACAAAGCTGTTTCTCTCCAAATCTAGAAAGGCCAGAAGAAGTCTTAAGGAACCCATTGTTCTTATTTGCAGCAATCTCTAACCCTGCATTTTTCAAAGTCATCCTTTGTTGACAGCAAAATCACTAACAACATCATCATTGTTATGCTGATGGTCACGAATAACGAGGATTTTACAGAACCACAAAGAATTACTACAGCAGCTGCAGCTCTAATTTAGGATAAAACTAAAAATAAATGCATCTTTGCATCCATCAAACAAGTGTTGTTTTGTGGAGATTTGTGGTCTATCAGTACGTCGTATAAAAGTCTTTGGAGATGTTGAATGTTGTGTTTACTCACGGGTGCATTTAAACTGGGCAATGATAGTCATTCCTGCTACATGCAATCTGATGAATTTCTGTGATTTAACAAAGAATGTCACGTTATATCTGAAGTGCTGCTGGCAAATTCATAACAGACAAGAAGCCACTGTAATTTGATGATGGGATACAAATAGAATAAAGGTTTCTTTTACTTTGCCTGAGAAAGCAGTCAGATTGAGCAGCCTGATTATAGAGAACAGTTTAGGAATGAAATGGATAGTGTTTCATCAGCACTGTGAGGCCTCATGGTGATTTATAAGTGTTTTGGAAATAAAACACATGACATTCCATCAGCAAATTAGCTTATGTTAATCATAATCACAGTAATACAAAAATAATATGTGTTTTTATTTTGTTTCCCAGCAAAATCTCTAAACATCCATAGAACAACTGCATAAATATTAAGGCTTTTTTATTTTTATTTTTTTAGAAAATAAGGCTTTTATAGAAGATACCTTGATTTAAATGTATCTGCCTTACCACATCATTAGGAAAAAAAAAACGTTTTTTTTTTAAAGATTCAGCATTGTAAATAACAGTGCCTTTGGAGCAAATGATATTCCAAAACCAAACAAAACAAAACAAAGCAAAACAAAAAAAAAACAACAAAACAAAGCAAAGCAAAACAAAACAAAGCAAAGCAAAACAAAACAAAACAAAACAAAACGTATTTACTTTTTCTAGTAAAAATATCTAAACATAAAACAAGCTAAATCTTCTGTATAAACTGTATAAATTATCAAGGCTTTCACAGAAAATATGTGTAATTAAATGTATTTTTCTTACCACATTGGTCAAATATTATTTACTCGTTTTAATAAATATAACAGAGGTTTATGCTTAAACCCAGAAAACCTGAAACTTTGAATTCATCAGAAATATGTTCTGACAACAATTATCTTTTTTTTTGAGTATCTTAGTTGTGAGGATGTTTAGACTAAAAAATAGACATCAAAAATATTGATTAATACTTATTAATTCTGACTTTTCCCACAAGTGTAAAGGTACTACAGACAATACAACTGCACTGTAAATATTCTCCCAATATAATTTATATTGAAAATTAAATATAAAACATCGTATAATCTCTTACCAAATCATGTAGATTCCTGTCACAGCTTGATTGGCAGAAAAAAGCAATGACTCTGAAGAGAAAAATCTGACTTTGTTAACAATGATGCATGGTCAAGGCTGGGAAGACACTGATTCCTTCACAGTTAACTGTCCAGTCATGCTATCCAAGGTTAACAGATCTGTATCCCTCTTATCTTCTGTGAAATATCCAGGCGATCATTCACCCTGCGCGCACACACACACACACACACCTGACCTCCTCTCCTCCTCCTCTGTCTGCATGCGGTAGAGCTGAGCTGGCTAAACTGCATACAGAAGAGGCTCGACTTGCGCTCTCTGTGACGCAAGACCAGCCGTCTGGGGACCTGCACTTGTCACTCTGTGTGTCTGTTTGCATTTGTGAATGAGCGTATAGGAGAAGACAGAAGGCAGAAAGAGGGAGGTGAAGTTAGGATGAGACAGAAAGACAGAAAAAGAATAGGAGAGGAAGAGATTCAAAACAGAACAGGGTTAGCGAGAGAAAATGAGCAAGAGGGAGGGAAAGGAACAAAAGAAAGGAGGAGGGGTCTGTTCAAGGTGGAAACAGAGAGCCACTGAGAACAGATTGCTGGTTTGAAGTGGAAAAGTTGCTAGAAAGCGTAGTTAAATGCATGAGAGGGGCCAAAACTGCACCAGTTTGCTTAGCTTTCCATGTCCAAGTCACAAAAACACATTCTACGTATGGATCAGGATTGATGATGAAATGATATTAAAGTAAACTGGTCAAGACTCAGTGGCACAGAAATGGTTTTAAAAGTCGGAGAAATCCTTTACCTATGCTGTTCCCAGTCAAAAATGATTAGCCTTTAAAAATGCTTGTAAATCTTCGTTTTTGTATTCTTTGTAATCTTCGCATTTCTTTTTGGAATTGATTGATTATAAGCCTCACTGATCTCATCTTACACACCTCAGTTTTTGAGTGGAAAAAACATTATTTGTGGATAATTTTGGCAATATTCACTTCAAAACTTAGTAAATGAGCTCAGATTGATAAAAAAAAATTATGCTAATTGAAAGAAAACAAGTTGATAAAAAGATTGAATCTAATATTTGGTAATATTTTTTCATAACAAGAAATTTATAATCATTTTTTTGTAGGCTGGTCATTTTTGACCAAGAACATCACAAGTGTTATGAGGTAAGAAAAAAAAATCCCAAAACAGCTAAAATTTTTTGGGGGGTTAAGTTACCCAGAAAGAGTTAAGTCAGTAAATTTAAGCCCAATACGATAACATAAACTAGCATTTTCAAGAAAAATAAAATCCTCTCCGGGTCAAAATGACCGGAACACAACAATAGGGTTTAAAGCCTAGATTATTAAGTGTATTCTTTTACATGATGGGTTAATGACAGCTAGTTTCATGTAAACTTTCACTTATTTCTTTATAGACACTCCCATAGGAATGAATAGACAAGCTCAGGAAGAACTTTTGCCATAAGGAAGAAGAACTTTCTGGATCATATTGATGGTTTTCATGCTGCCATTTCTGGATGTTTGCTTTAGTGACCAATTGGAAGAATCCTTTCTTATCTCAGTGTTTGCTTAGGCTGCTGTATGAGTTTCCATACAGAGGTTTGTGCCAGATGATCATAAATTGGAGCATAAATTAAACAATAGCTTGACACATTATCCATTTCAGAAGCTCTATCTAAGGTTGTGCAATACAGGAATACAGTGATTTTTTTAACATTTGGGAAGCATTTGTGAAAAATTGACACTGAGGAACTTGTCCTCGTTTTATAAAAGTTAAGTTACAAATATTTTTTGTTTTTTTTTGTTTTTATATTTTAATTTTATTTTAAGTTTTAGAAATTTTGCTATGTGCTTTTGTCTTTGTTATTAGTAATTATTAAATAAAAGTTGTTTACACAGATTTGTAAACCGTAGTGTTTGACAAGGTTCAAGTGAAGCTGACGCGGAAAACTCTTCATTGTTGCTTTGAGGTAAATGAAATAAAACCCGCCAAAAAAATGAAATGAGGTCCCACTCATGTGAACACATCCAGTGGCACAGACTTGCAAATTTACTCAGAAAAACAGTGACCCTTAGTTTAGCCACAGGGTTAAATGACTTGATGTGTGGGTCTTTGAAATTTGATTATAATGCAGAAATATTTCCTGTTTATTTCCTCTGTTGATCACAAAAGAAGATATTTTGAAGAATGTTGGTAACCAAATAGTTGACGGTAGCCATCGACTTCCATATGGAAAAAATACTATGGAAGCTAATGGCTACCATTAACTGCTTGGTTACCAACTTTTCTTATTTTTTATCAACAGAGGAAAGAAACTCATACAGTTTTGGAACAAATTGAGGGTAAATAAATGATGACAGAATTCCTCTTGAGTGACATCACCCAATCCATTCTCTTTATTTCACTCACTTCTCAATGTCTCTTACTGTCCAGCACAAGATTATTCTGTTCATCCAGATCTCCTTTTGAGTGATCTCAAACACTCAGTTCATTGTCTGCAGCCACACACACGGACACACAGAATGTCATGCCAGTGCCAGGCAGTGTAAGAGCGACATGGCTGGAATGCAGATGGGTAACGTGGGTAACACTGCATGCTTGTGTGCATGAACATGAATTAGTAAGAAAAAGGGCCATGGGTTGCCTGGCCTAAAGCCCACAGGGGTTACACAGCAGCGGGGAAAACACTTCCCACCACAAATACAAAGAAAACGCAAACATACAACGCTGCTACCAAGGGCTTCACTGATAACAAACACCTCATACAATAAAAAAACATTTGAAGGGTTCTCTGGGTGTGACATACAAAGGAAGAGACCACGTCACGTGTTACATGCTTACAGAATAAAAGAGAGCAGATCACTTTTGAACTCGGTTCAAACTAATTCAGATTCATACAAAGCCTGTCTATAATCGTTTTTTTTTTTTTTTTATACCTTGTATAACAGAAATCTGTCACAAAGGACTGAAATGGACACTGGAGAACATTCAGAGCTAAATAATTCAGCTTGCCACCCTAAACCAGGAGAATCTGACTCCATTCAGTACTTGGAAAATTCACAATGAGGAATCCAATGCAATCTGAAACTCATTTTCTCATTGCAACTTTCGTTCTCTGTGGATTTCAAAATCTCAAAGCTCAAGTTGTTCAAATTTCCCAATTTATAAGTACATCCATTAAAAAGTTAGCTACAGGTTTTTATTTTAGGGAAAATTCAGTGTTTTGCCACATGTCCACTGGACTGTTAAAATATATATTTTTTTACAAAGTGTAACTGCTGCTGTGTAACCCGTGGGCTTTAGGCCAGGCAACCCATGGCCAATGACAGTCATTGTGTAAAACAGAAATAGGCCTAATGCAGAGTGACTAAAAATAAATAGCCTACATAAAAGTCAAGAGAATAAAATAAATTACCTTTATTACATTTGTGATTCACTTGTGCTGGGAAGACTTTGCACCAAATTTTTTTTAATAAATTGTGCTTTTTTTGCGTCTGACGGAAATGCCAAATTTTGGCGAGACGTTTTTACGTTTTTTTTTTACATTTGTGGTCCAAAAGGTACATTCACATTCAAGACCGACTATAATACATCTAGGAATACATAAGAGCCATACTTTCAAGGTTACATGATTTACTAGGTTTGCCCGTCTTTGAACCCAGCTAAAACCTCTGAGGGTCTGGCTTAGCCTTTAATGCCATTTTGCATAGGAAACAATTTTTCAGCAGCAGTGAGCCTAAAACCCTCATGTCTAAAGCCACTTTTATGTTGTGATTTCCAAATTAAAGAGTCCTTAGGGAATGGAGTGTCAATGGTTTTTTCACTTAGGAATTTGACAATGCTAGTGATCCCCGTAAACCTCAGTACATACTAGACTTTGTCCTTGGGCATCAAGTCCTATTTACACGAGAAACTAAACGACAAAGTCAAACAAAAAGTTTACTCATATAAAAAGAGATTTAAAAAAAAAAGTGCTTTGCAAGCACTAAAGTGCTTTTTATGTTTCTTAGGAGGAAAAAGTCTCTCAGAACTTACCATGGTGGTATTTATTTGATCAAAAATACAGCAAAACCGTAACATTGTAAAGGATTATTAAAATGTAGAATACATTTTGGAACATATTTTATTCCTGTGATGCAAAGCTGAATTTTCAGCATCATTACTCCAGTCTTCAGTGTCAAATGATCCTTCAGAAATCATTTTATTATACCGATTTGCTGCTAAAAAAACATTATTATTATCAATATTGAAAAGCCATTATACTTCATTATTCAGGACTGTTTGATAAAAAGAAACTTCAAAAGAATAGCATTTATTTAAAATTTAAATATTTGAACTCTTTACTGCCAATTTTGATCACTTTAATGCATCCCCACTAAAAAAAAAAAAGTATTAATTTCTATAAAAAGAAACTGCAGTGTACATCACTAATATCTAATCATATAAACATTGTAGAATTTATGACCTGCTTAAGGAAATAGTCAGTGTACTGTCATCCTGTAGTAAGCATACTGAGAGCCTGTTGTTGCAGTTCTACTCCTAGCACAGATGAAGAATGCGTGAAACGTGCCTTACAGCTATTTGCAATGTCGATATGACAGCTTTCCGTCATCTGCTCTTTTCTAGTTGATTCTAATCGCAACAGCAATTCTTTAAAACCTTCCTTTATCCAAGTTAGTACATTAAAATTTCACAAATTTGAAACATGCACACAGAATAAAAAAAATTAAACTTCATTTCATTAAAGATAATCATTATCTTATGTTTATTAGAAATGTGTCAGTCAAAACTGATGAGCAAAGACATAAGAAATGCAGAAAGGTGTTACTGAAACCAGTTTGGGCAAACTTAAATGACACATGGAGTTCAGTGAATCATGTACAATTCCCGTTAAATGATGCAATAAGTTGAAACGAGAGAAGAAACACTTCTCAAAATCTCTCAACAGCACAAGAAGCACTTTAATACATATAAAAATCAGCACTTTTTCTTCTTCTTCTTCTTCTTGTCGGCTTTGTTGGAGTCATCGTGAGCTTTCCTCTTAGCTGCTAGCTTGTTGGCCTGT